CTGTGCCTGATTATAACTGAGCTTTGTGGACATTAAGCCACTGATAACCTGGCAGTTAAAACATCTGTTCATTACTGTAGTAATCACTGTTTAAATATGTATGTATGAAGCTTTAAACACTAATAAACTAGCAATCTTATGTGATGCTGTGATCGACCGCACTGATAGAAATTCACGTCACAATCAGTGTGCTGCTGACTATGTGAATGTGTGAATGAGTCCGAACTATGAATGAACAGAGGGCACTGAATAAAAAGCAACAGTGTGAACTTTCTGACTCATTCTACTATTTTCTTTTTTTAAGATAAAGGTCATGACCTACACTGGCATGCATTCATATTTCTGCTCCACTAAATTGAAATATGGCCTCTATGCTCTGTAATGCAATGGCAACTTGTGGTATTGGAACTTTTCTTGGTAAACATACTTGGAGTTGATACAGTTGACAAGCTGATTCCACTTCACTCATGTGAAAGAGGTCATGAAGAATTATATTAAAATTTTATCACAGGAAAAAGCGTCATTGTTGCAACAAATGAGGTTAAGCAAGAGAGACGCTGGAAGAAAAGAGTTTGGCAAATTTGCAAACAAACATAATTATTTTACTATTTTACTGCAAAGCTCTGAACTGCAGCATCATTGCTGTACTGCTCAATGGATTTCCATGAATCTATGCTAATAGTGAATAAAAGCTACTTTTAGGGTCACCACAGTGGGCAGCTCCACATGTTTGATTTGGCAGATTTTTACACCGGATGCTTTCCCTGACGCAATCCCCCAAAGGGATTTGTGTCTCCTCCCAGAATTCAACCAATCTGATCCTTCACTTGTTAGGAAAATGTGTAACAACTACATGTAACAGCCACTCCATTTACAGCCCATTTTAATCCACAACTCTGAACACATGCAATTCAGCATAAATCACCAAAGCGGTCTGGCCTTGACACTGAACCCTCCGGCTTCAGGCTCAACAAACCTTACTAAGCTATTGCTTTTACTTTAAAGTACACCCCATAGGTGAGGAGTGGAAATGTAAATCACCATAAAAGACCTGATTGAGGCATTACCCTTTGTAGCAATAACAAATTAAAGCGTCTGCCAGATAAATATTAGATTAACTGCTAACAAGTCCTTGGCTATGAGATTTAGCTATCCAGGGGTACATTACAACAACCAGGACATGTACAAGGAACATCTCCACTGCTGCTTTCTTTAACATCAACTGGCCCCCTTAAACCAGTAAACGGAAAACAGATTGCAGCAGTAACCTCTACACATCGTGAACTGTGATATTTCTCATGTGTAACTTGGTTACAGCAGCTGCTGGGCCCTGAAGGTGGTAGCGAATGAAGTGAAGATGATTCATCAGACTGAAAATGAGTTAGCAGAACACTTGTGCTAAGCTGAACACATCCATCATGTGCATTTGAGGATTTTTAAAGACAAATTCAAAATAACTCCTTTCAAATGCAAAGTGAGCATGAAACTTGATTTGATGTTTGATGGGGGGAGGTGCTGACCAGCTGCTGATGTTATTGGATATTTCTAAAGCAATTACTGATTCTCTTCACAAAGGGAATTGATTTTCCTCCACAAAAAAGGTTATGGATAATGCCCTGAGGTACAGTGACTGTCACACTGGAATGCATCCCTGTGGAAGCTACACCTACTGCATCTCTAATACAAAACACATGATTTTCTCACCATCACTAGACCCCAGTGAGGTGATGAGCTTTATGTCATATCTAGAATATCTGCAGTACTCTAAAAAGCTGCACCTGTTTTACTTCAGCTCCTTTTTGTCAGGGACAACAGAGGCACAGCACACCTGCTCAGATCATATCTGAGGCACGTGCCATGAGGGAGCCTTTTTATGTGGGTCCCTCTAGATTTGATATCAATATCTCACTGACTAGACTAAAACTTTTGAGAGCTTAATGTGTACTCAGGTGTGTATTAATCCTTTTAATTCCTATTATCCGATGCTGACACAGCGTAACAACAGCATTTTGATCAACTTAAAGATATCGTTTAATTTATACAAGTAACAGATAAGGGGTATAATGAGCTGTGATAAGATAAGTTGCTTTATCTATGAACTAAACCAGAAAAAACTGGCAAACACTGCCAGCAGATGAAATCAGACAGAAAAAGAAGAACTAGGCAGGGCTAGTGAAAACTAGGTGAAAGGTAAACACCAACACCACTGAGGAATTTACACCACAACAAAGTATAAGCAAACTGCATTAATGTTGGTTAAGCATAAGAATGCCCATTGCACCAGACCAGAGACGTATGTTTCGGGTTGTGAAAATAAAGGTTGTTGCTCATTAACTTTGAGAGAATGACTTTTGTGCACAGGGGCACACTTGTGCTCAGAAAACGGCTATGAGGTTCAAGAAAAGATCAAGAGCCATTGGATTCTTGGTGTTTCTACTAGCTCAGCTTATCTCGACTAAACATTTCCTGTCTGTATGACGAGTAACAAGAAGAAAAAAAAACAAAAACAAAACACAAACCCTGTGCGTTACACAACTCTGGTGAACATGACACCATGCCATATTGGGTTTAACTTCAGTACATGTGTTTAGTGTATAATCATGTTGGCCTTAACCTTGGTGAATGTGTATAGTGACTACAAGAACTGAAAGTGTAATCATTATGTGCACATTGTTCAGGAACTCAAAAACACTTTAATTCAAAATGTGCAGCACTGTATCTTCTGTGTTATTGCACACAAATATCCTGCAGAACATCAACAACCGACCATCGGGCCCATCAGCCAAGCTTATGTGCTGGCTCTTCTCACTTGCCCATGTTTTCATTTGGACAGATATTAAAAATTAAAGGTCTGTAATGTAATGTAAAATCTGGTATTGTTAAACAGACTGAAGTAATCCAGCTTAACAACAATTTTCAGACATGTTGTCAGACAGATATGCACAGTGCAGGTTTGAATAGCAAAAAATGCAATGAAATTTTATTTCATAAAACTAAGAGCTTCTTGTTGTGAAAACACTGGTCTCTTATAAGCCTGACATTCCAAGCCAAGATCCTTTTTTAAATGACTTCATTAGACTCCACGATGCTTTGATGGGATCTACAACTCAATCCACGAAAAATCAACCTGCGCTTCCACTTGAGCCCCTCAGATTCAGCTCCTTTTTTGTACAATAGCTGTGGTATATTCAATAAAGCCAGTTAACATTTGATATCAAAATGTAGGTAAGAATGGTACCTTTAAAACATCTGCCCAGAATACACTTTTTGATGTTTAGTCCAGTAAACTATATAATACAGATAATGCAGCTAAAGCATGCAGGGTACCAATGATTTTTTTCCCCTGTTGCTTTATGTCACAGACATTAAACTGGTACAGACTTTCTGCTGAAAACTGTGATAAATCCCATGACATTGATGCTCACAGTTACAGAAAAAGCATGCTGAACAGAAGACCGTGACACTTAAGGCGGCTGTTAAATTTATTTTTTCAGATTTGTTTGATGTCATATAGCATGACTAACTAGATATGTAGCATTACTTTGTTATAAAGTCTTCCACAAAAGAGGGAATGTGAGGGCCCATACTTCGACATCACCAGTCTAATACGCTTGTACATCATAAACTCACTTGAGATTGACCCGAAATTCACCTGAGCCACTGTGGTTTCCAGATATGACTAAGCAGAGGTGTACATGTCAGGCAGAAAACTTACGAATGGAAGCAGCTCATTCCCAAACTCTGGATGGGAACATCAAGCTGTGCACTCTGCCGCCGATATGCGAAATATGTTTAAGATAAGTCAACAAAGCGATTAACTGTGGAGATAACAATCTGGCGCATACGGAAACCGAAAAAAAATGCGTTATCATAGATGTATAACATTTCAATAACCATAACAATAACAAAAAAGATACGTCCTGCTTAAACAAAGTAAAATCCAATTCACAGTAGTAACAGTAAAAAAAAATAAAAATAAAATACAAATATATATATGGTACGTTTTTAATAATCATCGAAATTATTTCTGAAAGCGTTATGTTCCTGTTAGCGATAACCACAGTAAGGCAAGTGGTGACGGTTAAAGCCAGCTAGTGTTTTGTCCAAGTGCAGCAGGTTTGAAAATTAACGTTAGCCGTGGCTAGTGCTCGCTAGCAGAGCACCCAGCCCTTCATGGAGTTGAGGACATACAAACGGCTGCTGATGGTGCATGTTAACAGTGCTAACAAAGATGCGACCGTTTGTCTCCTCTTTGCAACACACTAAAAGCACCGTCAAAAGCTTGTTAAACATACCTGTTACTCCTAACGGATGTCAAAATTCCAGAAATCTCTGAGAAGCAGGAACCGACGGCTAACTTTCGACGTCGCACAAGCACCCGGTAACGGCTACAGTAGGGTCTAGAAAACCACCTCTCCCTCCGCCTCTTCCTCTTCGCGGGTGTACTACATTGATGCTCGCTTTATGAGCTGATGTTGCCTTTAAGGACTGTGGTAAATTTCACGACAACGCTTTGAGAGTAACGCCCATAATACCTGAGCGATGAGGCAATGCCAATCTTCTTAAACAAAATGCCGAGAGTAGGAGTTTTTGTGAAATGCTAACGTTTTTAAGGGGTGGATAGTTTGGATCACGTGGCACAGCTTTCCTTGTTTCTACAAGAGAATAAAACAGAGGTTTTGTTTTTCTCTGTTTTATATTTTAGCAAAGCAATTAAGGTCTCTTACACATATTTCTGAAAAATCTTGATTCAAGTTGACCATATTTTTCTGAAGGTTTGCTTAAATTGAAAAAAAAAAATGTGATTATAAACTCCATCAAACTTGCCTTGAGTATTCTAACTTCAGAAGGTTACAAGAATCTTTAAACTGTATAAGACATTACACTTCCCGTTTGTGTGACAGTGTGTCACGACAAACTGTCATGAAGAAAGGAAAAGCTTCCTAAAAGTAAGCCACTTTTTCTTTTCTTTTTTTACACAGGAACTAAACAGACACACATATGAATTTAGGGTTTATTACTGTAACCATAACAATAAGGTGGATCTCTCTTTATTTTGACCATCAATTCAATCATAATTGTTCTTTTTAATCACAGGCAATAGTTATAATAGTGCACTTTTTATATTTAAATTATGATACAGACATTTCTTTTTTTAAACACCTTATTCTACTGACCCTTATGGATGGAGAATAGTTTACAATCTTAGCCAGAGTTGGGTCAATGAAAAATGAAGGTGACGTGAAAGATGAGGTGAGCAATCAGTGTGTTTAGGACTGTGAGGCAAACAACTCCATACAGTTTCTCTTCTTGTGACAATGGGAACAAAACAGAGGTGAGGAAGCGGGACAGACAGGTCAAACGGACAGGAGATAAAGCCAACAAGCAAGTATTTGATGTGCTCATGTGTGTTTGTGACAGAGAAAACATAGGCCTGTTAGGGTTTGGCTGTGTTGGTTAGTTCAAAATCACTGGGTCAGTCGGGAAAATCCACACGTAACTACCTCAAAACGCATCCGCTGCAAAGTGCTCAGCCCACTCTCATTCAGTCGCCACCCACCCTTCTCGCACACAGATACCAGTTACCAGAGATCAGTGTGAGTCACAGAAACGCAAGATACAGACAAAAGCTCAGTGGGGACGTGAGATGAGAGCAACTGCTGCTATCGGAAAAAAAGAGTAAATAACAGGAACAGGAACGGGTTTCTTGGGTTTGTTATTGACACATTTTGTTGGCATGAAATGTAGTTTATAAAACAAATACATGACAAAACCCCCCCCATAAATAAATAAATAAACAACAGACAGAAAAATCGACAGATTAGAAAAAATGACATTAAAATAATAAAGTGTAGCACTGTGTGTCTCTCTGAAATCCTTCTGCACTCTTGTTGCATATTGCACTGTATGGAAGACTGTGATGAACATCGACTAGTCTGATAGAGTACTGGAGTAATATATGTGACTGCCTTGAGTTGCTACGTCTGCTTGCAGAATGGCGACTCTTAGTGATGAGCAAGGGTGCGGCGATGGATACTTGGCTTGTCGGTGAACACTGAAATAACGAGCGTGGGGTTAGGAAGTCCTGTTCAACAAGAAGCTGACACCTTTTTTAAAGTCCAGCATCATGAATACGTCCCATTGATGAATTTCCTCACTGTGTATCTTCTTTTTTTGTTTGTTTCTTTGCTTTATTTTGACATGAGTCAGTATATGAATACTATGGCAACAGGAGACAAAGCTTGACGAGAAAGGCGGTTTCTGTTTGATCCACAGGCCGGTGATGCTCTTCTCATTCAATCTGGGCGCAAACAGCTGTGATGAGGTTCATGAAGCTAATCACGGATAGTGACGACAAAACAAAGCTTTCATATATTACTGTTCATATTTCTGTTCAAACACTTTTCTTCAGAGCAACGAGGGTCCAATGCAAAAATCTTAGAAGCATTGTTTCATATTGTCTCTGAGTAAAAAGCAAATATAAAAGAATCGAAACACTTAACTCTGAATGAATGCCTGTCGGAAAAGCAGCTTCCACTGTCAAACACTGTGTGGAGTGTCTCAGTTGCTGTCTTTACTGTGATCACTGTGCTACTGACATCCTTAAAAGAAATGTGTAAGCATAAATAAAAACTAAATAAAAAAATATCTTTTTTTGTTCACATTCACTTACTTAGCTTACTTTGTTGGTTTTCTTTACCTTAGGAGGAGACACTGCTGGAGAAAAACAGGACCTTCACTGAGCTCATCGCCACTCACTGGGGCGGCAGCAGGGTGCTAACTCTTTAGGATTCTTCTGCTGAGATGCATTCATATTTCTTTTTAGTGGGCGGGTTTAGATGTTGCTTGATAGTGATATGAGCGCACTGATTCATTTTAGGAGTAATCTCGAGAACCATCACAAGACTGTTATTTCTTTTTTTCCTTTTTTTTTTTGGTGTTGGATACTGTAATACGATGATATGGTAGACTAGCCTATCTGATCATATCAGCATCCTTGAGCAGGCTGATTCGCTAACTGGCATGCACATTAGCACTTCAAAATTCCTAGTTTGATCTGTGAAGCTGTACCTATGATGAATACCAAACTGCTCATTCACGTATTGTTATTATTATTTTTCATTAAAGGGCAGTTTGTTAACACTTGTTTCTCATTTAAGGGTAGGAATCCTGGTAATCATAAGATCGGTAGAATCTCGAGTTGGAAAAAATGTGCATGATGGGGAGGAAAAAGGCTCAATCCTTGCTCTGTGGTCAAGCACCTTCAGTAACTTAGACAAGGAAGAATAGGAGTAGCTCATGGCTTGCAGGGATACTTGGAGATGAAATTACACTGTCTTCTTTCTGGTGTAGTTCAGGCATCCTGCTGCGCAGTCTAACTTTCTATCCTACGGTTGGGATTGGGTTCCGTTGGAGGACAGCAGTCGGGTTCTCTCTTTGGCGGAGCCTCTGCGCTGCAGAACTCCCCCGCTGCCTCCTATGCCTCCGCCATCTGCTCGTTCACCCCACTCGCACCTGTCGCCCCCACCCTCGGAGCGCCTCGAGTTTTGGCGGGTGGGGGTCCCGTGGGGCCGACTGTTCTTCTCATCTGGGAAGGGATCAAGAGAAGAGAACGGGAAAGTCACTCTGAATGTTTACAATCCACAGGCTTCACGGGTCAGTGGCAGAAATGCAGGTGTGAATTAAGGTGATTAAGGTGGCAGCTAATCTTCCACCCTATGCTTCGCTCACTATAGTCTAGGAACTGTGAATCATGCAAAGCTATTATAGTCAGCTCCAAGAACAAATATAGATCTAGAAATCAGCTCAAAGACTAAAATTTAAACAGGGTGAATTTCTACAGCAGTGTGTGGAAAAGTATTGTGTGGTTAAGCAATCTTACCAGATAGGGCTGACACCAGTGGGTGATCATGGGAGCTGAGAAGCTGCGCTTGAATCGTTTCCACCACCCGTCTGAACCTGCGACTCGGACCTGAAGAGGAGTCACACACATTTAACTTAGGGTAGGTACTGTTCCAAAATAATATGATCTTAACGTCACCTGATTTTTTTTATACATCCAAAGTTATTTTCAGAGAAAAACCCTCAATTTGGTAAAAACAAACCAAGTTGAACCCAGTTTCAACTTAAAAATACTGCTCAAAAACATAAACATTTCAGGAAATGTTGAGTATTTTACTATAAGGTTTACTTATTAACCCTCTTAAACCCCTTTACTTATTAAACCTCATCTTGCTATAGCTTTACTTGCTGACAAGAGTATTATTGATTTGTTCATATAACTTTCCAAAGCAGAAAGCTGTTGAGCAGATTTGCAAAAATTGAGATTTTTTCAGGGAGCAACACAGTTTTGTCAAAATGTTTAACATTTCATTCCACCATTAGCTAATTTTAGCATCTGCTTTACTTGCCTGATATGAGGGTGAATGTCACGCTGTAAATTCCTGTCTCCCTCCTGCCCTCCCTCTCGTTTCTCTCCCTGTCCCGCTCCCTCTCGCCCTCGGAAAAGGCAATGTCCACCTGGAACTTGACGGGCTTCTGGAAGACGGAGGGACCGCCGGAGGATTTGTATTCGGCTCGGAAGCTGGTCTGTGAGAGGACGCTGTGACTGAGGGATGGGATCTGTGTGGTGGGGCGACAGAGAAGAAGCAGAGAGACCGACAGACTTACGAGGCGGGAGAGGTATGGGGACCGACGTGAGTATAGGGAGACAAAGGGTGAGGGTGAGGAGAGGAGAGAGAAAGAGTGAGCCATTGGTGAAAGCAAAGTGATCCATCTACATGCCACGAGTGAGCAAGATCAAATAAAGATTAAATAAAGAGAAAACTGAAATAATGAGAGAAATGGAGTGTGTACAGTATGAGAGCACAAGTCAGATCCAGCCAGAGCCATGCTTTGATCGCGAGAGCAGTGAAGGACAGTCCAAGTCAGACACTCACAGACAGGAAGGCGTGGACAATGTCAGCTTTAACAGAGCTCAGCGGTTTGTCTCTGATCACCACGAAGATCTGCTCCTCTTTCTCCAAGCCGATGAAATTCCCAAACCACGATTTCTTAGCTAGCCTGGTAGCCAGACAAAAGAAATACACAGCATGAGGAGACACAGACAGCGTAAACAAACGGCTTTATACCGTGAAAATACGACACCTCAACAAATATTTATCTCCAGGAGCTGGGACTCACTCAGGGCTGGATTCTGGTGTTAGGCTGGACATATCCTCTGATGTAGGAACTGTGAGAGAGATGAAGCACACACAAAAATTCCGCAATCGACATTTGACAGAATGGAGCAAAAGGAAAAACTTATAGATAATCCTCAGCGATTACAGAGATGAAAGCTGAAAAAGGAAATCAGTGTATTAGAAGTAATGAAATCTTCTGAAGCTATAATCCTACACACTAAAAGCATAACTCCCACAAAATATGACAGCAAACATGCAGGACTGACCTTGCAATTTACGCCGATGGAATCTTGGTGAGCCCAGGAGGTTGTTCTTGAAAGAATTGAGGCGAGTCCTCCAATGGGCAGAGCTGCTGGCTGCCATGCCGCTCCCCCCTCCTGGACTGGAGGGTGGGGTCAGCGACAGTGAGCCCACCCCTCCCCCTCCCTCCGCCCGCGAGGAGGATGAGGACGAGGAAGAGGAGGGCGGGGTGGAGGAGGGGTGGTGAGGGTGGTGAACAGGGGTGCCCAAGGGTGTGGGCAACGGAGAGCCCTGGGGAGTGACCTGCGGCACAGAGTGGGCAGAGTTTGGGTAGAAGCTCTTAGTCACTGACTTTAGGACAGAAGAGGAAGGGAAGAAGAAACGGGGGATGGGTGACAGGAGTGGGGAAGGGGAGGGCGAGCGGGAGGATGGATTTTGCAGAGGCAAGGATTTGATGGGCTGTAGGTGGGGTCGGTTGGCGGGTCCCTTGGTGGGCAAGGTCTGGGTCTTTGGGTTTGGGGGAGCTTTGGGCTTGTCATGAGCCCGTGCTGAGCGAGGAGTGGTGGTGCTTCCCTGTTTGGACTCCTTTGTGAGTGGGGAAGCGGTGGCAGAGGTGACATCTGATTGGCTGAAAGTGAAGACGGGGCTCTGATAGGACTGGGGGGTGGGGGTTTGTCAGGGTGAGGGGGTGGGAGACATGGAAAACAAGAAAGAGAAGGGATGGAAAATGGAGAAAGGATGGAAATGAATATCATGCTTAATGACAGAAGAGTGCATCTTGTGAGGAGTGAAAGTGCCGAATGCAGTTCTCAGTGCCGATCATAAAGTCTTTCATTTAGTGCATTTCAGTCTTTAGTACGCGCCCTTTAAATCTATTGAAAGTGAGGGTTTCGTGACAGTTGTGGCAGGGTTAAGAATGCAGTGACACAGGACAGTGGCAGTGAAGGTGTTACTATAGAGTAATTGCTGCCAATTAAGTTTTTTTTTTTTACCCTTTAGGGACTGTTTTTATACACTTTCAAGCACAATCAAACCATTAATTATCCAATAAAGCATCTAATTAAGCTGTCAAATTGTTCAAATTATCATATATAAAACTAGCTCATGCATGAGGAGGAAGAAAAGTGACATGAAGACAGAAAACAAATGCAAGCCTCCTGTTGGGTGAGACAATTCATTTAAGGGACCTGTGTTGTGATGATGTGTAAAAATGACTGAGAAGATATTTTAGGGAGTTGCGAGGAGTGAATATTTGTTTTTTTTTTAAAGCAGCTTCATGTAGAGACTGACATCAGCAAAAAAAACGCATTGTTACATACTGAATCAATAGTTGGCAAAGGAGTAATACTGAATTGAGGTAAACTAAATTACTACCTAGTCTGTCAACATTATCTCTGAAGTCATTTCCACTGTTGGTTTACAGAGCTGTTATTGCCCAATGAGGCTAAAATGTACACAGTACCCTGCTGACACTGACAGCTGTCTGAACTGCAGGACACAAATATGAGACTGGACTTAAAGCTATATTGCTGACAGGAGTTAAATAATACAAATGCAGACTACCAGAAATTAGCATTTTATTATGGATCCAGGTATAGTGTTCAAAGATAATGTAGTAAAAGTATGAACAAGTTGGTTTACAGAACCTTACCCTGGGACTACTGAGAGGGCTGGAGGAGAGACCGGTTGAGGCTCCACTGACTGAGCGAGACCTGACAAAGAGACCCAAAGATTAATAGGCTGTTAAACCCCCCCCCCAAGAAAAATAACCCCAAAACAAAAACTGTATGATAATGAATTCTTGCGCTCTAATTCTGCAGAATACAGAGTGTATGTACTATATATGTGTAAGAAAAACATGTTATACCTCTGGCTGTGTGCAGCTGTGTCCAGGGCCCTGCGAGGTGGTGTAGGAGACCCTTGTTCGGTGACACTCAGGACCTCCAGGCTCTTCCTTTCGGGACGGCAACGGCCGTGGCGCGTCAGCATAGGGGAGTCGACGCGCTTTCGAGGAGGGTCTGCTGAGAAACGCCACCATAAACTCGTTACAAATTTTGTTTTAATTTTAAGCTTTGTACTGTGTTTCGCACTTCAGGAATTTCTTCTGAAAATTTTTTTCACAGGCCTTTTGCTCACTGCGCCATCTGTGACTGTGATAAACTTAGCTTCATTTGCATTTACAGAATTGCTGTCCCTTCCAGTTTTATCTCATAGACAAAGCTTGCAGATGTCCTGCAAAGGCTGGTATAATCATGGTAAAAGCCAGCGACACCTTATAGTATTAAAGAAACAGGTAAACACACTAAAATTCCAACACAAGGACATTAAGGGCCATACTGCTGTATATTTTATCTCTAATGCTAATGCTAGTCAGTGCAGTCAGTGCATCAAGTAATAAAATTATAACATAATAGTATTTAAATCATAACCTCAAGTAATCCCTAATTCACTGGAAGGAGAACTGAGCATACAGGAACACCGCTCTTGAAAAAGTCGGTAAAATGTGTCTCAGACCGATAACTGTAGCGTCCTCTCTTGAGTGGATCCCTCCTGCCCCCTAAAGACTGACCTACATCATTGCGCGGAGGTAAGTCCTCATCCTCATAGCTGGGGTACCGCTCTTTCCTGTCTAGCAGAAGGTAATAGATCATTTTCTCCTGGTTTTCTCTGTTGGGGGGTGGGAGAAAAATACAGATTGAATGAGATGCTAAAATGTCATAATATTTATTTAAAAAGGAAATCTGTATGGATGCCACACAGCCACGCGATTAGCTTTTAGTAGGCTGTTCACACGGTCACGCAGACATGGATTTCATGACACAGTCAGTTTATTTAACTGATCACACCAATGGGAAAAGAGCTAAAAATAAGCCACATACTCCTTCCTCTAACTCAACACTATATAGGCAAATAAGACAAGATAGGATGTTTGTGGCCAATATTAATCGGTTGCATAACGTCAAATATGCTGGCTGAGTGTTAAAAGGAGAAAAAAATACAACAACAAAAAATACGCAACAGCAAAAGCAAAATATACACTGAAAGAAATATTACATGCTTGTGACTGCATTGCATATTATATGCCACAAATGTTCTGATTTTTCCAGCCATTTCAAGCTGACGCTAGAAACCACAAATGTGTTTGGAAGCTGAAAGAAATGACTTACTCCTCACACTGCAAGTCACGTGTGAGCTTGACTCTGTCTCGGAAACAACCGAGCGAGTGCATGCTGTCCAGCACATCTGGGTCCAGCTCAGTCAGGGACAAGATTCGCCTCACACAAACCCGCCTTGGAGGAGGCTGCTCAGGACACGGCTCGTTACGACCACCCCTAGTAGGAGTCAAACAAAATGAAGCACATAGGAATGACACAGATGTACTGTACATGATTAAATACGATCACTTCAGCAGTCACGTATGAGAAAACGAATGTATACTCACAGATACCAGGAATGTTTCTGGATGGCCTCTAGCTATAAGGGGTGACAGGGCAGATGGGGCCATTAGTGTCTACAGTCTGTTAACAGCCAGATGGCCACAGAGCTGTGCTGTGTAAACAGTTCACATCACTTTTTTTTTTTTTTTTATACATCCACAAATCTCACGATTGCAGAATATTACCCATTAAACTGGATCATAAAAAACATTTTCAACTTTGCAATGTTTGCTTTTGAAAGTTTAATCAGGAAATCACTTGTGTGTGTGTGTGTTAGAAATATTACTGAGCAAGTTCTAGATGACTCAGTTAAGTCCCCAAAACATGCTTTAACAGCTGCCACTACGATGCATCTTCCTGACTGTACAGTATTGCAATGAATGCGCCAATAAAACACATACAAAATGCAACTGTGCCACACATAAATATCAGCTAGAGTGCAGATCCAGCAAAAAAGGATAATAGGAAAGGCAAGAAGGATAATCTAAAAGTGAATCGAGACAAAAATTATTTGTACCAAAAGCAAGAGTCCCATTAAACATATATTTTATCTTACAGAAGGAGAGGCAATCCCAGTTTAAGGCGGGTGACTGAAAACAGGTGTAAATGCATGCTGCATCTGAGGTCTGGACTAATGTGAGCAGTCTCATACCGTGAGCCTCTTTTCAGGGTTGACCTCAATCATTCCCTTCAGCAGGGACTGACAGTCCGGGGGGATGAAGTGAGGCATGTGGAACACCCCGCTCTTTACCTTTTCCAGGAGCTGGCGTAAATTGTCGTGGTCAAAAGGAAGGGCCCCCTGTAGGGCAGAGAGAGAGAGAGAGAGAGACAAAAACAAGAAAGGAACAAAAAAACAGATTGCATTAAAAAAAAAAAACACTGGCAAGCGTGGGATGTAAGAAAAAACTGCAAAAATCATAAGATGAGGGGATTTAAAAAAAGACCAAAGTGCACTGTGAAAACACAAGTAAAAGACTTACCACCAGTAGGGCAAACAGAATGACCCCACAGCTCCACACATCTGCTCTCCGCCCATCATACTTCTCCCCCTGCAAACACACAAACACTTATGATTTTATTCATCGTCGGCCATTTCAATACAAAAGTGATTCACAAAACTTGGCACCCGTCACAGGATGATTTAGGCTGATTTCAGGATGAAAAACACTGAAAGGAACACTAAAATCCATTTAGTCAAACTCAGTCTAAAAATACCATGAAGCCAGATTTGAATCGACAACACTGGATAATCTTTTAAATGCTGAGTGTCCTAAAGATTTACTCATGCTAAAAGGTGTGAACGTTCAGAAAAACAACTCAAGAGACAGACTGAACTTAACATTAAAAGTGTCATGTTACTGGTTAGTTTTCATCAGGGGTGTCAAACATAAGGCTCGGCCGCCAGAATTGGCCAGCCAAAGACGCCAATCTGGCTCACTGGAGAGCTATGGAAAATGTGGGGGCATAAATTTGACTTTTTATTGTATTTTCAAACTTTTAACAGCTTTTTGAAAAACCATTCATACTACACCAAAGTAAATAAGTAAAAGATAAACAATTAAATGACAGAAAATTCCTGTTTTTTCACTGTCTACTATAGAAATGTACAATTTTTACATAGGGTTCACCATTTCAAAAAAACAGGATGCTCTGTCAAATAACAAAAATGTTCATAATCACAGACTGAGTAATAAACTAACAGAACTCTTTCTGTAATTTTATATATTTACTTCTTACAATTTAAGCCCAACACAGCATTTCTTTAGCATGCAGAAAAACTGTATTGTTGAAATTGCACTTTGTTTTTAAATATCAAAATATCTCTGAGATTAAATGTGTGATTTAACTTCTTTACACTCTCAGAAAGCAGAGTTTAACTGATCAAACACACTTAAGATCAAAGTGGACTGTACATGTCCCACAGTGTAAAATGGGTTTGACATCCCTGGTTTAGATCATGTACCTTTGGAGCGATTTATCTCTCTACAAAAAAATGTTTTTATTTACATTTCAGAGAAGAACATTTGAGAATACAGAGAATAAGAGCTGGATACTTACCCGTATAACCTCAGGGCAAGCGTAATGTGGTGATCTAAAATCAGAAAAGGTTTGCCATTAATATTAGTGAAAGTAAAATGAGCACTGTATAAAAGAAGTCATAGATCTGTGTTGTAGACGCTGTATTTTTCTGCTGACGTGGAGCCTTTAAAATGTACAGAGTCATACTGCAAGTTGTTGAATTATATAACCCTGTTTATGTATGTACATCATCATTCATGAAGCTCACACACAGAGTTGATACTCACCCACAGCTGGTTTCTAACAGACTGTCTCCCACCTGCAGGGAGGCCATGCCAAAGTCAGCAATACGAATGTTGTTCTTTTCATCCAGGAGCAAGTTCTCAGGCTTCAGGTCTCTGTGACTGCACACATACAACCAATACTGTTAGAGTTGTTGTCAACATGGTGCTTTAAATCAAATACAACTGCATGACTCTGAAAATGTGTTTGCACAATCATAATGTGTTTCACTCATTTAGTACATCAGACAACAGCTGTTTTATTGTTTAAAAAGAAACGCTCAAAATAGCTAAATCAACATCCTACATATGAACTTGACTCAAACACGGTTATTACAGCTCGGTGCAAAAAACCAACCAGATGGAATGACTGTGGCAGAAATCCAAAGCAGAGATGATCTGCCTGAAGAACTTCCTGGCCTCTTTCGGAGTTAGCCGGCCCTTCTTTACCAGGTAGTCAAAAAGCTCTCCTCCTGACACATGCTCTAACACCAGGTACCTGTCCACAAACAGGGACAACAGTGTGATTTGAACTTATGATTCTGATAACGCTTTTCCACTGATGTGGTGCCGGACCAAGCGCAGAGCCAGTTCTGCCCTGGTGCTTTTAGAGGACCAACCGACTTTTTTGACCGAACCGAACACTGCAAAAGTTTGATGTAGTTTCTACAGGAAGAGAATTAAAGGCCCATCCCGCAGAAAAGGATATCAGTGTTTGCACTTTTGGTGAAAATGTGGGAAACAGGTTCTTAGTTTGGCACCACGTTGGTGGAAAAGTGGTGCAAGTAGTGAAAAGCAGACAAGATGCTAAGAAAAAACTATTTAAACTTAGACACTTCCCATGGTTTGATATAATAAGCTTATGATGTTGGATACTAGGACTACAATATTCAGGCTGTACTCACTTTCGGACAACCCATCTGTCTACTCCAACAGTTGTTTTGTAAGGGTATTAATAGATTTGAGACATACTCCTCATTAAGACAGACTTTTGAGAATAAAAGTAGGGGATGAAGGAAAAGTGAGAATTACAGTAACGACAGCAGATTATTACAGCTTTTCTTGAAATATTTATACTCATCCCACTCCAAAGATTAGTATGCAGCTAGAAAGCATGCAGACTGCATTGAGCCAAAGAGAAAGGCTTTTTCTGAATGCAGAGGGAACTCACAGATATTTGTTATTCTCGTAAACATCATGCAGCTTCAATACATGCGGATGCTCAATCAGTTTCAGAATGGCAATCTCCCTTTCAACCTGGTTAGAAAGAAGGGAAAGCATAGAGAGAGAAAGATTTTGAAGCGAGGCTCATGAGCGAGTTGTTTTTCACACATCTGAACGGAGGTTAACTGTTAACTCATACAGACGGTAAATATAGTGAATATGGGACATTTTGTCAACATCTTAAAACACCATGCTATATATATATATATATATGTATATGTATATACATATAAGTGTCATCATTAACGTCACTGTGAGCAACGCCTTCAACAGCGTCAGACTGTACCTTCATCAGGACTGACTCAGACAGCTTCTCTCTGTTGACTATTTTGATGGCTACCTTCTGACCCGTAATACAGTGGATCCCCAGTTTGACAAGTCCTGTAGATTGGATGAGAGAGATCATTATAAAACACAAGAAGGGTGGCGGGTGGGGGTAGAATAAAAGCGCACAGTTTAAACACTACACAAAACACTAGTTTTAATTTCAGGAACAACTCGGCAATACTCACCTGTCTGTCCCTTCCCCAGAGTCTTTTCCAGTCGATAGGGCCCAACATATTGAGCTGACTGACTTAGAGACAGTTCCTTACTCATACTGCTCTTAACTGGAGGCTAACACACAATTATTACTACTTACTGCACTGTAGTTATTGCAATTACTGTGATATTGTACAGCTTACACAGAAGTTACTGTGGGACACAAGACGATGTTCAAATTAGAACGACTGTCTTTTTATGTCAGCGGTAACACGGACTTTCTTTGAAGTCACTTCATGAACGTGAAAAAAACAAAAAACCATAGAAGTGAAAACTGCTGCTGATTTACAACACCTGGGTGGACGTTTTTCATCTAAACCGAGACAGCACGGTAAACATAATGTTTATTTTTTTAATTATTTTTTTTACAAAACATCTTGCTATATGTAGAATAAAGCGGGGGGAACTGACATGGCATTAAGTTTTTAGGGTGTTTTCTGTGTTAAATACTAACCACTACTCTAAAGTAGGCAAACTAACGAGTCTTATTTATGTACATTAGCTTATTTCTATAACTCACACCTTGTTATACGTATGACGTTAACGATATATGACTGTTAATGAGAAAACGTTACCCTTATATAGCCTTAAAACGAGCAGGTTTTCACGTCTGCCTTAAAATATTCATGTATTTTTCCTACGCTTAATATTATTTTTAGTTAAGTAAACGGACAAAACGTCCAATACGTCAAGTGTATGCTTGCACTGAAAATGAAATCACTGTTTTCCCCTCACTGCCAGGCCTGTTTCACAGGTCCAACAACATGCTATTTTAGCCTCGCCGCCGCTCTCCCACACAGCAGCGAGGCTAGCTTTAGCTTCAACGCCTTGACGAACGGCCGTCTCGCTCGCGCCGCCTGTCAAAAAAACCGACACCGCCTGAAGTTTCTGGGCTTCGCCAAACGGTACGATTTATTACACGGCCGCCGCATTCTCACAATACTTCGAGGTGAAACGCGTATTCCCCGCAAAACAAGCATCTTTTTTTAACGTAGCGCCGTCCTCCCCCTCCCTGACTCTCCCGTCTCTCCCTCTCTACATCCCTGCAAGTAGCGGATCACAGCATCTTCTCTTCTCTCCTTTGGCGTGTCCTCCTCCCCTCACCGCCGGGTATACAGGTGCAAAACACACACACACACACACACACGCACACTGATATCCGCGGATATGTGTGCGCTATAACCAGCTGCCGTATCCCCCTCCTCGCTCCTGATGACAGTTCACGCAGGGTAAAGGCCCCTTCTATTACACTCCCTTCGGTTTTCTTGCCGTAAATCGATATTTTCTCTCCCCTCTTCCTTCCTTCGCCTCACTCGCATCAGCATCCGGGTCTCACTCCCTCTCCATCCTCTCTCCTCTCGTCTCCTCTCCTCCCCCGCCCTCCTCCTCCCGATCATCTTCCTCAAAATACGCCTATCTCTGCATTCACATCAGCACAGGCCACGCAGTGGGCTCCCGGGAGTTGCAGCGGACACCTCCTTTACTGTTTTTGTCATCGACATTTATTATTATCATTATTATTATTTTTATTCATACATGGACGCAGGGAGCGGATACAGACGCAATTCGTTAGGGGATATCTAGAGAGTCCTGTTTTATTTGATCATTTATTCCTATGAGCTGTCAAATTTGAAGTGCACAACTTAGTGTAGCGTCGATAATTTAATCAAAACATACTAACATTTAACAATCATTCTGTGTCTGTTTCGTTGCACTGATTTTTTTTAAAGAAAGATAGAAACTAAACAGTAACCATTATAAAACAAACCATGTCAATATTATAGTATGACTACTTTTAGTTAGTGACTACAAAGGCATGTTTAAAATATTTTAACCAACACTGGAAAAAAAAAAATCATAGTAACTGCATGTCAAACAGAATGAATTTAGTAGTCACGTAGATCAGTGGTATGAAACATAAGGCTCAGGGGCCAGAATCAGCCTGGGAGAGACTCCAGTAAGATCCACTGGAAACGTTTGAAAAATGTAAAGGGCCCAGATTTTGGACGTTTAACTGCATTATAACACGTTTTACTGCTTTTCCTAATGTTAAACACCTCTCACATGAACATACTACACCAAAGCAATTACATAGTAGATGAATATTTCAGTGACAGTAAAGTGTTTTTGCTATCTACTATTGAGCTTTCTGTTTCTACAGAAGAAAAACAGAAATGGTACAGAAATTATCTTACAAATAAAATGTACACAATTTTTAAAATTTACACAAAGATTTTACTGAATTTTTTTCTTTACTGAAAGAAAAATGTATTTCTTACAATTTAAGCCCAACGACTCACATTTATTTATGACATATGGCACCCATTACAAGCTTTTATTCTACCAAGCAATACCTATTTTAACACAATCCACTGATGTTACTTTTTAACCGATAACACAAAGATAACGTTGAAGTATGTTTAAGTCATCTAAACTTTAGACAGTAGAATAAAAATACTATAGGTCCAAAAAAAAAAACCTTACTTTTTTACATCCAAATCAATTTTGACCTGGAAAATTTCTGCAGGAGAAATCTAACTGCATTTTTTCTACCGGCAGAGAAAGAGTCCTAATGAGCATGTGCAGTGTAGCTTGTTTCTGTTTTGAGAAATTCAGTGTGCCACAAGTGTGCTACAATTGCCACTGATGTTAATTAATATCATATTATAATATAAATCATATTCTTCTTATTAGTAGTAGTAGTAGCATTCAAAAAGAATGTTCATTTGTGCACAGAGGAGTTATTTTTATAATCTTGAGCAAAAAAAAAATATAATAATGCGTAATAGATTATCAGTTTGCAAGACATTTTTACACGTTGCTGTTTAACCATATTGGGGTTATTCCATCTCTATTCCAGTGTGTTTGAAATAAAGCGTCCATCTGACCACCTCAGATCTGCATGAAACAATTCCAAGGGAAACCTACTGTTCTTAATGGAACTTATTATTTTATTATTATCAGAAAGGTTTATTTCCAATATTTTCTGTTTAAAAAAAGGAATTATGGTCTTTTAACTTTTTTCTAGCATTTTTTAAAAAAAAACTATCTACAAAACTGATAAAACTCTTTGAGCCGGATCTTCTTTTTATTTTAAGAATAATAAAATGTTAAATATCTGGGTCTAAGGCTCTATGTACATGGGCCGTCAGGAGTGTAACTCAAGCTAACATTGAAAGATGGATCCCTGAATCCTTAAAATAATTGGATGTCCAATCTCTGACAGCATTTAAAGGCCTGCAGGAACCACAGTTTTGCAGGTAGAGGACTGATATTTTATTTAAAGCTTCTCTGCACTAGGCACATAATATTCTACAAAACTGTCAAAATCAGATGATTGGTTTAGAGATATTAAAGCTCGAATATAATACACACACACACACACGTCTGGTTTGCTATCCTCGTGGGGACATCCCATTGACATAATGCCCAAGTCAACTAAATGAAACTTTCTTTTATACCTAACCATAACCCAACTGTAACCCTGACACTAAAACCACATTTTGAGTGACATGGATTTTGGTCCCCAGGAGGGCTGTTGGTCCCCTCCAGTATAGTAAATTTCAGATTTTGGTCACACACATTTTCATCCAACTTCAGTGGGAGATACCTCAGGTATTACACCATGTACCAAATCCAAATGAATCTTTCTTGAAAGAGCACATTTTTGTTAATAATATATCCAAAATTTGTGGTAGACTTCTCATTTTTTCAATATAAAGTTTTGAAATACTCATGTAGAGCCCCTCACATATGATGCCTGTAAAACATGTAAAAACAAAACTATATGTACCTTCATATATGACTTATAGGAATCTCAAATTTTGCACAATTACAATTAAGAAGTTTATTTATTTATTTTTTCAGACAAATCAAACAGAGTTAAGTGGGAGACGTTTGATGAACTATGATCCAGTGTTCACACTAATTTTAGTATCTGCCTTGTTCTTTGTTAGAAAGCTTTAGGTTAAAATAAATGCACAAGCAATGTGCTCCCTCAGAATTTCACTTTAGGACAGTATTTGTTGAATGTACATGTTACTTTTAAATAGATAAGGCTGTATCTTTCTTGATTATTTTTTAAGTTTTAAGCATTGCTGCTGCTGATGTATAGACTGTTGTCACTAAGGACATAACAAAATAGGATGAACACAATAGTAAAGTAATGATCAGAATTTCTTTGGCACACTGGCATGACTTATTGGGACACTTGGATCAATTAGAACTGGGCTTAATGTAATCACTGCCTTTTTTCATTGTACCATTGCAAATTTGTATTTGTCTATATTGGATTTAGTGTTTTTTCTCTTCACCTTTATAGTCGGTTTTCAAATAATATAAAAATACTCTACTCAGATTCAACAGTGCTGATCATGGGAAATTTCCACTTCATTGACAACCACATTAAAAAATATTTTACAAAGAGCAGAACCGTTTAAAGAAGGCTGAACGACAAATGCCCTCGTCTGCAGATTTGGAGGGAAGCAGAGAAGCATTGGGTGCTGATTTGACTGAATCACTCAAAGATGACAGCTTTATTTTAAATAAATAAATAAATAAAGTAGGACGTTTGAATATATCATCCGTAAAGTGCCTTGAAAAATCTCTAAAATCTCAGATTGAAATGTTGTGTGTGGGTGGATAATTCCCCAAAGCCCATCTTCATCTGCGTTTAGCTGGTTGATTTTCACGCAGCCACAAGGATTTGTCTCTGAACCACGGTGCAGAAATGGGACAGAAAGAAGATACTCATCCTGCTTCTGATAAAAAAACATAATGAATATATGTAGGCTTACACGATAGCCCTGCAGGAGAAACTGAATGAAGTCTGCCAAGCCTGACATACTCTACACTGAATGCAGATACATTGTAAAAATCAGTCTTTTGTGGGATTTGAAGATGCAAACCTGGGGGGGAAGAAAAAGTAGGACAAGACATATCAGTCTGTGAATGATGTTTGCTTTTTGCATAAACCTGCAAAAATACTCTGTGCTAATTCTCTCTCTAGAACCCCCATTAAACATATTTTCCAGGGTCTTTCTCCACTCTGAGCTTAGTATATTTCAGCGATCCCCACACACAGACTACAGATGTAACATTACACTGCTCTATGTAGGTACTAAAGTGGGATTAAGCAGAGATTAACAAGCTCTTCTTAATTCTATTAAGTCGAACATACAGGTCCACCAGTGGAGAGCCTCCAACATATAATAATGTAAGAACACAGAAAGTGTGCTGCCATAAAGAAAGACAATATAACGTATGTTGAAAAAAGTTTATTGTAAGGTATCATACAAACTTGTTATCGACAGTAAGCTAATTAGTCTTAGAGTATAACAATTACAACCATTATAACAGAATAAGTAGAAGTATGGAGCTAAATTCATAAGCAACACCCCCCTCTTCAGTTTTCAGATGGTTTCTTCCAGCGTAATAAGAAGATGGGAAAGTGAAGAACCTGAGGTAAAGCTGTGATTGAAAAATATACACAAGTACACACATATGTCATTCAAAATATTCAGATAAACAGTTTTCCATCAAAGGTATATTCACACAACAGTACACATGCTACAGTTTCTACTGAATTATTTAAATTGTATTATTTTGTTTCATTTTCTTTTCTGCATTCGTTTTTGAACACAGTTTTATTTTGGCCTGATTATTTCCGACTTTTCCCGACTTTTGTGATTATGTCACAATCTTCAGCTTTTGCCAACTTAGAAGAAGAAAAAGAAAAATCTGTGTAAAAGAGTTTGTAGCAATTTCTGTGAACTTACTTTTTTTTTTATTTAAATGGATCTCACTGTGCATCATGACCCCTCAGACAGGGTTTTTACACAGGCCTGGAAGGCATCCATCAGATCTTTACAGGTCTCCATCCCCTTGTCTCTGACACTGAAACACAGTGTGAGATTTAAAAAAACACACTCATCAGTCTCTTCTCTTTAGGACCTTAATTTGAACTTGTGCTAATATGAAGACATGTAAAGCAAATGAACCCATCTGAAGCTAAATAGGAATATTTCTAAATATAGTCCACATCAAAGGGATTATTCAAGTTGGGTCTGATAATAATATATTTCAACTCAGCCTCCACCGTGGCTTTTATCGGCCTTTGGTGGAGTACGAGAAGATGAGTGAGTAATCTGTAGAGCAGCTGTACTGACAGTAATCACTGCTGCACGTGGACACGGACTAAATATCTTCTTTCATGCACGTAACATGAACCAGCCAGCTGGAATGTACTGGTCCTCTTCAATAGGGTTTACAAGTGGAAGTCTATTTTAAACCTCATATATATTTATGCTTCTCAAGACATTACAGTATGGGTCCCATTTGGATGTTGTTATGTTTAAAAACTAGTATGAACTCTAAGTGCAGTCTGTAGATTTCCCCACAGACACTTAAACTGGTTGACATGTTAATGTGGGCGCTGGCTATTGTGCATAAAAAGACAGGAAAGTGGCCAGATTATTAACCCAAATCCAAACACGGTTCATAAATCTCACTCGAGAGCACATTATACAAGGATATTTTATTCATGCACTGTCACACCGATTGGAAACAGCAATCAAGATCACTGATTCATTTTACGACTTTGAATGCAAGCACGGATTCAAAAAGAACTTTTATTCCTGTCAGAACTCACCATTTGTCAGAGTCCTCTTTGATTACCTGGCATGGTGCTGGCACAGCGTCGGCAAAGTCTGGCATTTTGACAGGAGAGAGAGTGGAGTTTGTGGAGGTGTGCTGCTGCAGGAGCTGCAGTCAAATATGGTAACGCTTTAAAAGGGATGGAGGGACACAGGAGGGAGGGAGGTAAGGGAGGAGGGGAGGAGGCATGACAGTGACGGTGTGTGAGAAGCTTAAGAAAGGAAAAAGTCAGGAAGTTAGGAGAACGTTATTTAGGAAGCGACTTTCATTTTGTTCCTTTTTTTTAGTGTGTTCAACTGAGTTCTGTGCCACTCTTACTCCTTTCATTTCCCAGTTTATTTACATCACTGTATATTAAGTACCTAATTCTTTAAATTCCCTTATCCCATTCTTTTGTTTGGCTGTCCTGCTAATGAATATGCAGATAACTGACCTTTTAAATCAACCACTGAGCATTACAAAGGTTCCCTAATGCATCCAAAATACTCACTACAGGGGGGGGGGTTAGCTTAAAAGATACCGGGGTTCCTGACTTTGTTTTAAAATGTTTTGTTGGCTTAAGGGGGCTGAGCTGAGAGTTTAACCAAAACAAGGTGGCTTTTAAAGGCAGTTAGTGTTAGTGTTTTTAATGCTACCCAAAGTAAAAAAAAACAAAACAGTTTTTTTTTTTAACTCATCTTGACAACATTTTTCACACGCACACATAATTTAAGAAATCTGACATCATACGCTCTCAGCTGTTTCGTCGACAAACTATAACCCACAATGGCAACATATGGAAATTTCGAAAGTTATTTAGTAGCCATAGTTATAATGTAAGATTTTACAGACTCTCATCATAATAATTATTAAAACTAAGGGAAAATACAGGGAATAATAGGAATAGTTCCCCAGAGCAGCTTCTTAACCAAAATTATGCATTTGACTGACAGAAATCAGATATAGATATAAATCTTACTGGCCCACACAGTCCAAGAATAACTGATTATGATGCCTTTTCCCCCACTTCCCGCTGATTTCCCCCAAAAAATCAGCATCCCATCATTTGGTGTTACAGTTAATTTCACAGTGTCACAGGATACAGCTTTCAACATAACAGAATAGGTACCAGCATGATGTGTCCTCTTTGCATGCTACAGATAAAAGAGGGCATGACAAAACATTGGTGATATTTGCCACCTGTGCTTTTAAGCGGCATTTACAGTATGTGGTTATATTTAACTTGGCCACTAGAGGGCAACAAACATCCATATTCACACAATAATGTGAATAATAACCTGCACAAATAGGCCTCCAGAGCGTGTGCATCATGGGCACACAAAGGGGTCCACATCTACATTCGGCAGTGACTCATTTAAAAGCCCGTTCACCTTTTGTGTAACTTCGCTAATACCTCATCTTGGTTGCATCTCGGTGGATGTGGGCAGCGTTTGGAGACAATGGCAAGTTATTATGATAATCAAGCCAATTAAAGTATCTCACGAAGCCGTGCTCAAGAGCGTGAACCTGTGTCTCAGCGCCACTGAACCCTCCTACTTTATAATGACTGTAGAATCCAGTGTGCCATCTGCTGGTGTAAAAGAATATGTGCATTGTGGGGTCTGGCAGACAGGTTCTCCAAATAATAAGATTAGCAAGAAAAAAAGAAAGATCTAAACAGATCTTGGCATGATAAAGATTATGGAAGGAAGACGGTACTTAGAGTTTAAATGATTAGAGACAAACTGCAGCTTAATTAAATTATTTCATGAAGCATCTCTTTGGAAGCAGGAAATGCCTCTGTACCTCAAAGTAGCTGGACATTTTGGATGCGAATGTGTAAAGTAACTGATGGAGGCCCGTAAATCTGATAATTACAGGGATTTTTTTGTTGCACTCGAACGCGTCTAAGCAAATCGCAGCATTCGCGGCGAGCAGGTGACTATTTTGTGTAAATTGATACGTAAAGGTTCAGAAAGGTAACAAAAAAATCTAGAATTTGAGCAGGGCTAGTTGGCAAACTGAAAAGCGTGAATGGAGGTCACCGCAGACAGTGAGTGAGTCTCGGCGGAGACACAGAAAGGGGGAGAGGGAGGACGGACAAGCGGCCAGCCGCCTTCAAAAATGGCGTCTCCGGAGGAAAATGAGTAAAAAATATTAAAACGCGGCCTGCTTTCTTTACACTTCCTCGTTTGGGCTTTAAGGTTTTTCGTGCTCTGGTGGATTTTTTTCTCTCGTGAGCAACCTCGTCGTCGCTTTTACTTGTATGTACCAAAAGAGAAATATGGGGAGCGAGCATTTGGGGAAATAAAAGCAGCCCCGTTTTATTTTGATGCGTCGTTACTGACAGCTAGCATCTGCTGCTAGCTCAACAGCTCTGCTCCGAAAGGGGGGTGGGAACGATTTTGCATGCAAGGGAGGAAAAAAAGGGGGAAGAGGTTTTCAAATTGTGGATTTCTTTACTCGTCTACTGGGGCTGATTGCTACCAACGTGGCTTGTCGATTGCAATCTTTTCTCGTGCTAGCAGCCTAGCCAAAACTAGCCGAAAGAAAAGGGGAGGAGAGACGGTGGAAAAAGGACGCATTCAAGTCAAATGTTTATCAGCATTTCGCCCATCGCCGGCCAAATCCGCGGCATCTTCATCATGACCGTGACTGGTTTCAGACTAAATCTGCATTCGTGGAAATGATAAATGTGAAAGGCGTAGGAATAGGAGAAAGACTGGCTTTTTTGGAGGTGGTTGGATTATAACCCCGTAGACCCCCCTCTTTTTTTCATCCAGCTTTCTCCTCCTCCCCTCCATTTCTCTTTCAATATGCTGTTTTCCACTCCTGAGGACTTGCTTATGAAACCGGGGAAAATAGTCTGAAAACGAGAACGTGAGAGACTGGATTTTTTTTTCCGTAACCTGCCCTGCGACGTTCTCGTTGCTTTCATCCTCATCGCACACACTGTACACCACATAAATGGATAGAAATTACCCGGGAACAGGATTCGGTGATTTGGGCGCAGGAGCAGGATGGAGTTACGAGAGAACGGCAAAAGCAAGGTATGCATTGGATTCAGACAATGTGCATGCATTAGTGCTACTTTGCACGGTGTGACCCATGTAAACAAATTGTCGCCATTCACGTATAGACCCATGCCTTGCTATTATGTGTAATGCATTGTCATCCAAACAGTTGCATAGTAATAATATTATAAACAGGAATGGATGAGTGTGTGTCGTGGGGGTGGGCGGGGTGGAGAAAGGAAAGGTAGGGGAAATGAACTGAATGTGATTGACAGACGTGGGTTTTTTAGGTAGACCTGGCAGGGTGGAGGAGGTAGTGGTGGTGATGGTGGGGATGGTGGTGGTGGTGGGGGGGAGGAGGAGGATGTCTGGAGTATCCATAGGAATTATTGTTCCCTGTGTGCAGGCCTGGACACAAACCCCCGATAGATGGATAGAAATTCATTGGATTGATAGGATCTGGGAAAGAGTGCAGACGCAGCAAAGCCATTCCAGCAGCACCCCCGAACAGACATCAACAAGATGAACTGATGCATATTAACGAGAGGATGCATTTAATTAAAGATTTCTTAAATAACCACATCTTAAAGAGGCGAAAAAATGGGGAAGGAAATTATTCACACAAGGCTAACGCAACAATCATAATTGAGGTTTTGGCTGTCTTTTTCGCCAAGCATGATCCAAATTGTGGGGTTTTGTTTTGTTTTTTTTAAATTTTGGATGATTTGGGTTCATTTGCATAATAAATTGCCCCACATTCACTCTTGTGTCAAACATGCAGCTTGTCGTTTGCCTGAATAGTAAATTTCAATAAAATTAGGCCAAGGGTGAATGCATTTGGTGGTAGTAAAAATCGGCTGGACCCTGTAAGAATGCCTGTCTTTTTTAGCTTTGATTAGCCCTGAGAGCTAGCGCTCTGTTGCAGGGATGTGTATCGAGGCCTGTGCATGCAAACGTCATTGCCTCATGTATAGATGCACATGTGTGATATTTAAACCCAGATGTAGCAGCCGGATCACACTCGAAAGCCTTCGCGGTCCCTCGGGGAATAATATTTGATGAAACAAACCTAGCTAGTTGCTGATGTTTGCATGCAGCTTAGCATGCATTTGCGTCGGCTTGCACCATCCAGCTGTTAGCTCCATCATCATAATCAGTGCTTACAAGCATATTAATCAGTTGTCTTTGGTGCTCAGTAAGGAAACTGTATTTTTCACTCGGCGCACTTCCACGCGTTGATTACACATGCTTTATGTAAATGCAAGGCTGGCCTTGCAGTTTGGGCCTAGTATCTGCATTTCTACCATAGCTGCTGTGCTCTGCTAGGCGGTGCTAACAGCAGCACAAAATGTTAGCATGTCATCTGGTTAGCCAGGCAGCCACGCATTTCATCTCTCTTTTGTAAAGCATAGTACTGCCAGTGGAAGCTTTTAAGATTTAAGCAGGGAGTTGATTTAGATTGGGGAAATTACAAATTATGCAATGAGTGTGTCTTCTGATTTCATTATAATAATTGCAAATTAGCTGTTCTTTTATTTTTGCATAGCATGTATACAGCTGGTTTTAAACATTTGCATATGGTTTAATACATTTGGATGTAATGAACAATTCTGTAATCCAATGCTTATCAGAGGTTTGCTTTACACCTGTAGATCATGTCCAAGAAGCGTGAAGATATTAAGGGTATGCCCCTAATGAGTAGGGCTGGATGTAACATCATTCATTAAATGAGCGACCTGCATATTAGATGTGTGTTTTTAAAAGGTAGACCCCAGATCAGGAAGTGTTTCCTCATGGGTCACGTTGTGAGAACAGATTATGTTTTCATAAATTCTCATATGAGTGAAATTACTGACAGTTCACAACCCCTCCTCACCCATCCTCTCTACTCCCATGTCTTCCCAGTCTTGTATATGGGAGTTCCAGATCATCCCACCCAGAGTCTGAGCTCCTTCACCGGCAAGCTTACGCCACCCCACACCCTCTGCAGGGCTATGCCACCAATCACCACCCAGGGAGCTCTGGCCAAGGCGGAGCTTGGGGAGCAGCTGGACGGAGTTTGGGTAAGATAAATGTCATACCTTCCATGTCACCACCATAAGGGGCCCTGGCAATGAATTATTGTGTCTGTCCATACAGGCCCTGGCAG